AACCCCGCTCGACAGCAAGCTCTATGCTCTTTACACTATATTATTACCCCAGCAGAGCATAGAATACCCAGAAACATTCTCAATTTCCCGGGAAGAATACAGTGCAGGCCGCTGATTAAGCGCTCAAACACTAACAAACTGACAAGATCTTTCACTGACTATAGCTGGGTACCCATTTCCACCTGGGTGAAGTGAGGAAAACTCGTGTAAAGTGCCTTTCCCAAGGACACAACGTCGGGTCCCTGACAGGATTCGAACGCACGACCTTACAGTTGCGAGTCCGAGAGCCTAACCACTAGGCCACCGACGCCACATTACAATAGGCTTTATAGTTAAGCTTAAAGTCCTTTCTAATGAGCAAACTCGTATCTACAGCCCCCTATCTTGAATACTGAAACCTCTTTTTGCACCACTGATTCCATTTGTAAATTTTCTCTCATGATTTCTGAAACTTCACCATAACACTGCTGTTTGAAGAACTAAAGACAGACGTCTGTGGTGTAATGCTCAGGTGCTGCACCATTGCCTGCAAAAACCTCGAGCTCAATCCTCGTGTGGGAAGAATTCTTATTGAGTATCTAGGTCTTTCTGAAGTGACTTTGTATTCCTATCTCTCACCCTGGATTGTCCTTAGCTAGCATGGTCAAAGGCTGCCTCCTAATTATTAGTTTAAATTTTATTTTTTTTCCACGCCAAATCTGTTTCAGATTAAGTTAGAAAATAATTGTCTTCACATTATTGCATTTACAGTGTCTTTTTGCTTTGTTTCTGTTCCCTCCTCGCAGTAAACCCCACTGTCCTGTTCGACTTTTTGAGCAGGTGGACATTTGACGTGGTGGCCAACGCTCTTGTTTCTGTTGATACTTTTTTCACACTCAGGTAAAACAAAAACAAAAACGACAACAACAACAACAAAAATTCCAACAAATAAAATGTTTAAAAAGGAAGAACATATGCATAATACAATAAAAGACTAAAAACAACAAAAAGAGAACACTTATTTTGCTCGTAAGTTTACGCTCGCTCTCCTTTAATGGTTTGCTACAGCGGAGGGTGCTTTGTCCAGTTCATTGGCAAAGATCATGGGTAGGCAAAACGTCAAAACCAAACAACAAGAACAGCAACAAGAAAACCTCAAACGAACACACTAGATCTAACTATTCATTTATTTTAGTAGTTGACAAATATTTCTCTAATCTTCACTGACAAGTCATTTAGCAACTGTAAATATACAAATACATATATACGTAAGTACGAACCTTGGAAACTACCTTGGGAATCAATATTTTTTTCCTTAAGTGTTAATCTTGAGTTATCTCTTGGCATAAATTGTGCTATTAATTTTTATTTTGCCGAAGCCATAATGTAAATATTATGTGTGTGTGTGTGTGTGTGTGTGTGTTGTGTGTGTGTGAGTGTGTGTGTGTGTTTGTTTTTGTGTGTGCATGTGTGTGTG